ATAAGGTCACTGTTATTTACTACCAATCTGTGAGTGCCACCTGTCACACCTTTACAGATATCTTTCCATGCTGGTCATTGCTGTGGTGATATGTGTCACATATGGGTAGAACTATTAATTGCTTCCTTCCCTGAGCAGCTTTTACTATGGAATCTAGAGCACAGGGAAAAGGTTTTTCAGTTTAGATCCAGCTCAAATAATCCGAGCCGTGTCTCCTAAATATGTAGTGTCTTTAGCCATAGGGGCTTATCTTTAACTTCTGAGAGGCGAGCAAGGGCAACAGCTACTGCCTGTATTGTTTGGGAGTAACTTTAACTATCTTGACCAACTACTTGAAAGGTAATTTTTTTTGTACCTGGTACTAAGGTTTTTGTTAGCCCATGGTTCTTGTGGGGAGCATTGTTAGCTCAAGTGGCATAACTTTACGATCTCTCTCTCTCTCCTTCATCTCTTCTTCTTCTGTATTGATCTACTCTTCTCCCCAGTTAGGATCCCCTCCCCCTTTTTGAATTTTTCCTTTCTGTAGGTTTTGTGTGTGTGTGTTTACCTTATTTGTATTACCTGGTTCTGTGTTAGTTGTCTTATTGCTCTAACTAGAACTTCAAGTACTTTATTGAGAGATATGGAGAGAGTGGGCAGCCCTGTCTTGTCTCTGATTTTAATGGGATTACTTTAAGTTTCTCTCCATCTAATTTGATGTTGGCTATTGGCTTTCTGTAATTGCCTTTATTGTGTTTAGGTATGTGCCTATATCTCTGATCTCTCCAAGATTTTTAACATGAAAAGGTATTGGATATTGTCAAAAGCTTTTTTAGCATCTAATGAGATGATCATGTTTTTTTTTTTCCAGTTTATTTATATGGTGGATTACATTGATGATTTTTTTATGTTAAACTATCTCTACATCCTTGATATGAAGCCTTCTTGATCATGGAGAATGATGCTTTTAATATGTTCTTGAATTTGGTTTGTGAGTATTTTATTGAGTATTTTTGCATCAATGTTTATAAGGGAAATTGGTCGAAAATTCTTTTTCTTTGCTGAGTCTTTGGGTGGTTTAGGTATCAGGGTGACTGTGGTCTCATAGAATGAGTTTGGCAATGTTTCTTCTGATGCTATTTTGTGGAATAGTTTGAAGAGTATTAGTAATAGTTTTTCTTTATTCAAGGAAAAACTGGTAGAATTCTGTGCTGAAACCATCTGGCTCTGACCCAATTTTTGTTGGAAGACTTCTAATGATGGCATCTTGTCTATTTAAAGTGTTTACCTGATCTTGATTTAACTTTGGTAACTGGTATCTATGAAAAAAAAAAAAACTCATCAATTTCATTAAATTTTTCAGTTTTGTAGAGCACAGGTTTTTGAAGTAAGACCTAATTAATGATTCTTTGGATTTCCTTAGTGTCTGTTGTTATGTCCCTCTTTGCATTTCTGATTTTGTTAATTTGGATACTGTTTTTCTTTCTTTTAGTTGATTTGGCTAAGGGTTTATCTTTTTTTTTTTTTTCAAAGAACCAGCTCTGGGTTTTGTGGATTCCTTGTGCTATTCTATTTGTTTCTAATTTATTGATCCCAGTCCTGACTTTGATTATTTCCTGCCATCTGCTCTTCTTGGGTTTGTTTACTTCTTTTTGCTCTAGAACTTTCAGGTGTGCTGTTAAGTTGCTAGTATTAGAAGTCTCCAATTTCTTTATGGAGGCACATGAAACAAACAATATAAGGACAGAAAATGAAAATCATTGCATACTTCACTTCAAAACAAACACATAAAACCATATGGTGTAGATTTATTGAGAACTTTCTTTGCAGAAAAGCAGACAGAAGCTCACAGGACAATGTTCATCAGTCTGTGTTGTGTAATCCCCTGAAATTCAATTGCTCATAATAGCTCATTAGTAAGTGCCATACTTGAAATGATGGCACCATGGTTGTTCCTTGTACCAACATCATAGTATGGAATTTCTTATGTGGCTACCTCATTGGCAAACATGTTTCAATAGTGAGTTATGCATCTCTGATGGCTGTGCACAGGATGAGTATGTCTTCAAATCTGGGGACGAAATTGCTAAGTCTGTCTATTCATGATATACTGATCTTGGAAGAACTCGTATGTTCAGACAGGATTTCTGTTTGGGGCAGAGAAAGATTCTTGCTGTTTTACCTGGTTCTGGGCTTAGCGGCTGCAGCTACTGGGATCTTATTAGGTGAAAGATCTTTGACCTCATATCTGGAGTTGCACTGGGCATTGGTTGATGAAAGTCCCAGGCTGCTGGTGCTGTCTGGGTTCTGGCACAGTGGGTGAGTTCCTGCTCTGAGTAACCAATGACAGTTCTGATGTGGGGGAGGCCCTCCGGGTACTTATGGTACTCTGGGCCCAGAACAGTATCACTCTGAGTTACAGTCCAACTTCTGCAAGGAGGCAGAAACAGGTGTCTCCTCTAAGATGATACTCCTGGAGAGCTACAGTTGCAATGGGACCTAGCATAGCACAAGCCTTTCTCAGGCTATGTCTCTCGTTGCTGTTCCATTGGACCTTCCATCTGGTTAGTACGTACAGCTGTCTGCAGGTTCTGAGTATCAGGGATACAGGTATAGAGAACATTAGTACTGTGTTCAGTGACGGCACGGTGCAGGTGACACCCGATGGCTCATTTCTGCTAAATTATGTTCCATCAACACAACTGTAACTTTTTCTATGTGTATGTGTGCACACTACACATTCATGTATATATGCATGTTTGTATGTGCATGAGTGGGGTGTGTGTGTGTGTCTGTGTTTGTGTGTGTGTAGGCTAGAAGTCCTCAATAGCTCTCTACCTTATTTTGGTGACAAGGTCTCTCATTGAACTTGGAGCTGAGTGATTGGGTAGCCAGCAGCCCCCTGGGGAATAGTTCTGCCTTCACTCCCCTAGCACTGAGATTATAGGCATAAATCATTATGACTGACATTTTAAGTAGGTGCCAGGTATCTGAACTTGGGTACAGCAAACACTTTATTCACTAAACTCTCTCCCTGTTCAACACAGCCATTTTAGTGCCATCATGATGCACAGTACTAATGGTAGAGAATTTGTGAAAACAGGGGTTTGGAATTTTCAATGAGAACAAGATTCCTAACCACTGAGCATTCTTAATGAAATTCTCAGAATCTCCCCTGCCCTGATACTGTGCCTTGGCCTTGAAGGACCAGATTGAAATGATTCCCTGAGTTACCTGTATGTTACAAACCAGTATGAGGGCCACCTTCAAGTAGAGTATGGTGGGCAGTATGGCCTTCTATGTGGAAAACAATGGAGCCTGCAGGAGGTGTCAGTGACTTGAAGACAATTATGCCTTCCAGAATATTCTGAGGCCTGATGAGATGGAGACCTCTTGGCTGTATGGTATAGTCTAGAATGCCATAGTCTAGAAGCCACTTTCTGGGAGTACTCCCTGGGGGCCTGACAATTGTGAGTGCCAGTGTGTGGTGGTGGTGGTGGTGGTGGTGGTGGTGGTGGTGGTGGTGGTGGTAGCAGCGGTGATGGGCTGTTCAGATGAATCAAATGGAGACCACAAGCTCCCTATTTTCTGGAACCTCTTTCTTTGTCTTGACACTGAGGTCACTGAGGCAAATGTTCATGTGTTGGGAAAAGTCTGGCCAGGATTGTCCATCTCATCCCCGCTGGAAGCCCTTGGTGAGCGACCAGGTGGAGGATTTCCTTCTGTGTCTAGAAGAAGCCACACTCTGACTCTCACCCTCACTGGACCCATTCTTAGCATTTTCACAGGGTCCTTAGTTTCTAAAGTCCGCTGCCGAGCTCTGCATACATCTCGTTGTTGTTATCAGATAACTTCAGGGCACACCTTGGGGTTTCCATGCTGTCCCTCTTCACAGTGCTTACCAGTTGTCAGGGGGAATCAACCAAATGGGACCTTGAGCCAGTATCCGGACCCAGGTTCCCCAGGCCGTTGCTCTCCCTGCTCAGACCAAGGCATACCCAGTACTAGGAGGATGACAGTATTTCCTCTCTGGCTCCAGGATACAGAGAGAGCAGTGATGATGCCAGGAGCTCTGTGCATATTTCATCTGGCTGGAGAAGTTGGTAGCCTACCCTGGGCATGGGCTTGAGCCAGAGACTGTCAGGATTTGTCTTGCATCCTGTGTCATCAGATGGTACCTGTCTGAGTGGTTGGAGGGGTCAGTCCCTGTTCTCGGTCTCCAGATACAAGAGTTACACATGGCTCACTTCTGAACGGTGACTTGCATAAGGAGGAGGAAAATGTTCTGTGCAAACTGAATGTGGCACTGCTCTGTAACGTTCCAGGGCCCACCATGACACGGGCACCTGGAAGGCAGAAACAGAAATTCATGTGCTGCTGGGGAACAAAATCTGACACTAGGCAGGCAAGGTCAATGTGAACCTCCCAAAAGCTGTGTTACCTTCCAACCAGTACACAGGTGTTGTACAGAGACAGGGGTGCCCCACCCTGAGCATTTTAGTCTCAGTGCTGGAGATCTTGAGATGAAGAAAGGAGATCTAGGGATCTGCCTCCCAACATAGAGTCAATAGAACTCTCTCCCCGTGCAGTGAGGTTGACCCCACTGCGACTGGGTGGCCCTGGGGTGTCTTTAGATAGGGTCATTGCACTGGGAGCTTTGCTCATAGCTCTGTCCTCTGGGGTTAAGGAGCTGTTGGGATAGTGTCCATTTGCCTTGCCCATGATGACGTGGATGCTCACGTCTCTCTAGAAGCAAAAATACTAGGAGAATATTTATGGTAAGAATCTGTGTGGGTTCCAAGACTCAAGTGAGGTGTGAGGGGAAGCTTCAGAGTCCTTGGTCGGTAGATCTCAGAACTTGCCTTGTGGGCTGTCGTGCCCAGATCAAGGAAGGTTGCCCCTGTTCTCCTATACCACCATTCCTCACTGGGGGACTGGGCGGCAGCAATCAGGTTGTTTCACTCCAGTGGCTGCATGAAGCCTGGCCTCACCTCAGTCACTCACCCAGTGTCTGTCCTCAGGTCATGTGGAGGCCCGGCTGCTAGGTGGCACACACCCCTGTGAAGGACGCCTGGAGGTTCTTCGAGGACTCACCTGGGGCACCATCTGCCACGATGACCTGGACCTGTCCATGGCCCACGTGGTTTGTCGGGAGCTGGGGTGTGGTACTGCTGTATCCATACATGGGAGTTCCCACTTTGGCCATGGATCAGGGCTGGTGTGGACAGAGGCCTTTAACTGTGTGGGCAATGAATCACTTCTGTTCCATTGTCTGAGGGTGCCTGGACATCAGTGTGGCCATGATCAAGATGCTGCACTCACCTGCTCAGGGGAAAGTGAGTAGAGTCCCAGTCTAGAAGGGTGTGGGTGGTCTTAGCAGAATCAGCAGTCTGAGCTGTGGGCTGTGATGAGCATGGATGGACAGCTCAGGACCTGTGTTCCAGAAGTTCCATGACCTCTTTTTGATGTTTGGTTTCCTTTTCTGCCTTTGAGGAAATGACTTCTCAGCTCTACCAAAGATTTTAGAATAGGAGGCTGGACATTTTTTTTTGCGGGGGGGGGTGGTGGTGGTGGAATGTAATACTGATGGTTTGGAATATTCTGGATGGCAGACTTTGTTAGCATGTGCTTTACAGTCCCACCATGAACACTGTTTCCACCTGTGATGAGATTCTTTTCTCTACATAGTTCTACTTCACTTCATTCCAACCAGTCTTCTGCCTTGTGCTTTGCTTTGGTGTCACATCTAAAGCTTGTGCTTTAGATGTGGACTGTGCAAGTCCAAAGCCCTGCAGCATCACCTCCTGCTTCCTGTTAAGGCTGTTGTCCTTCAGCACATGTCCAGGGTCCTGATGTGTGGAGAACTGGTTCTGTGTAACCCATGTGAATGTCCTGTTTCCCCAGCCCATTGTCTGAGACATCATTCTTCCTACATGAGTAGCCACTGCCCCTTTTCAAAAACTTTAGACCATGAGGGTGTGAGATGATTTCTGCACCTTCTGTTTGTTTCCTCTGATCTCAGTGTCTAGCCTCATGTCACACCACAGTGCTTTGATTCATGTTGCTTTGCTGTAAGTTTTGAAATGAGGAAGTGTGTATCTAGCTGCTTATATGGTTGTGGGTTTTGGGGAATCTTCTTTCTACAAGAATCCTAGGAAATACGTTCTAACTTTCCAAGCACCTGCTTGGGCTCTGATAGGAATGGCATTACATCTGTAGAATGCTTTGGGCGGAGCCATCATCTTCTAAGACTATGTTCTCAGCCCTTAGTATGAGGCCTGTTTCCTTCTCTGTAGATCTTGTGCAATTTCTCTTTCAAGAAGTGTATTCCGTAAAATATTTCCAGCATTTAATTAACATGTACTGAGTGTCTGTATGGAAGGGGACAGTCTGACAGGGCAATATGTTAGAGCGTGCGCTGGCCAGGTCAGATACTGGTGTATCTGTCACCTCAGACACAACTTCTTTGTTGAGAACATTCAGCATTTTATCCATTAGCTGTTTTGAAATGTTCCACAAGTTCTGGTCAACCATGTTAAAGAACATTGTAAGTCCAGCTGTTCCCTGACACCCTTAACCATTCTCTCTCATTTCCCTAAGCCTCTCTTCTCGGCTCTGGTAACTAGAATGTGATTCTGTCCTGCTGTTCTATCAGCTACCCATGTCTTCTTCATATGGATGAGAACATGTCACCTGTTGGCTGACTTATTTTCCTTAATGTCTTCTTTTCCATGCATATTGCTTCATATGGCAGAATTCAACCTTTCCTTGGATGAGTTACCTATCATTTTGTACATAGAGACCACATGCCTTTATCAAGTCATTCTTTAAGGAATACCTTGGTTGACCCCATGTCCAATTGGGAATAGTGCTGAAATAAACACATAAGGGTTAGGTGCCCGGTAGTAGGATTGTTGTGGTCATTCTAGTCCTGGTTTTCTTAGGTAGCCCCACATTGTTTTCTGTATGGCTTACTATGTCTCATCCCCACAAACACCTGAAACTTCTCTTCTTTCCTCATCCCAAACCTTATTTGCTTTTTTTCATGTTCTCAGTCATAATCGCCCTGAGTTAGGTGGATCTCACTGTTGTGTTAACTTTCCCTGAGGAAGTGGCATCAAATGACCATTTATCCCAGAGAGGACACCATCAAGTCAAAGTATGGCTCCTCTAAAATTCAAAAGTGTGTTGGATCCCTTTTTCCTAGCTGGGCTGCCTTTTCTGGGCTCAATGGGAAGGGATGCGTTTAGCCCTGCTGGAGCTTGAGGTACCTCTTGGGGACCTCCTTTTCTCCGAGAAGAAGGCAAGGGGTAAAAGGGGAGAGCATCATGAGGATGGGACTGGGAAGAGAGGAGGGTAGGGGGCTGAGATCAAGCTGATTAATCAAGTGATTAAATAAATAATAAAATTCAAAGGAGTAAGAATGGCTTGGGATGAAATAGAAGCTGCATCTTAGAGTCCATTCTCAGCTAACATTCTATTGCTTATGCACTCTAGCGTCTCCTAAGGTCATTTGCAGCTGGGAGGAGGAGGGCAGGTCGGAGTAAGCAACAGACTCCTCAGTTAGAGTCTTATGACCCTTTCATTTACTAGGAAGAATGGATAGATCCATTTCTGTTAATATGGACCTGGTTACCACTCTATGGTTCTGCTCATAGCTACTGCTATGGCTACTGGATCATATTAGTCTCCACTTCTAGATGGCATCATATTATGCCTAGAGTGAAAACACTTCATACAACATGACACCCATTTCCTTAGGCTTTTGAATTCTTTATTTCTCTTTTTTTCCCCAATATTCCCTGAACCTTGGGAGAGGGGATATGTCCAGAATTTTTATCCCATAATTTGAGATGCTGTGATTTTATTTTCCTCTTATCATTCTTTTTAGATCTTAAAAAGATTTATAGCCAGATGTAGCCATGTGCACTTAAATTTTTCTCCATTATTTCATTTTAAATATTTGTGTTTTTTACTATATTTTTGTAATATTTGTTTCACTTACCCATAAAAGTTGTGCTTCACCAAGTGATGTTTCATCATTGCATGACTTTTCCTAAGACCACTTATAGTCTTGCTTTTGTTTCTGAGCATCTTCACGGGATTTATGAGAAATCACAGTTAGCCATACTGTGACTCTCTAGAATGTTTCAAGTCACTGTTTTGTTGCTGGCTTCAGGATGCTAGGATTTTTAACAGCTTGATTATAATATATCTCTTTCTTTGTGTTTTATTTAAAGGTTTCAATACCCAATATTTGGCCTTGGTTACTTATTGAAAATAGATCCTTCTCTCATATAATACATTCCAACCACAGTTAGTTAACCCTTCCTTCACTTCTCTCAGCTCTCTCCCACCTTCCTTTTCCCCCAGATCCTCTCAAGAGCAGGCCTCCAAGAGAAGACAGCCAAATTATATCTTTGTTATTTAGTATGAAGGCTTGATGTCAGTATATGTTATCGAACGGCTAAATCAAGCTGATTAGCTCCTCCATCATCTGACATGATTAACACCTGTTTGTGGTGAGGACCATCTCCATGTGCTTTCTCCCATCAGTTTTCATGGGCGGAAGACATTGTTACTAACTTACAGTCACATGTTGTACAATAGGCTTGGACTTCCTCTCCCTGTGTAATTGAGGTGTTTAGCCTCTTGACCAACACCTCTCTAATCATTCCTAGCGCTCTCTTTCAGGACCAGAGCCCTTGATAACCACAATTCTACCTAGAGTCTGTGAGCCACATGTAAGTGTGGTGATGTGGCGATATCATTCTGTCCCTGGCCTGTCAGCTAACATAATGTGTTCCACATTCACCCATGCTGGTGGACATGACCGACTTTCCTGCCCTGATGGGGAGTAACACTGCAGTGGTGTGCAGACCACAGTTTCTCTGTTACCCGGGAGAGATTTCTTTGACTCTTGGGAGGGAGCAACGCTGGAATGGACATACATGTGCAGCTGTTTATAGAACACACTCACCCTCTTCCCCTGTGTTGTTCCGCAGTGGCCGTGGCCCACTCCAGGGCAGCTCTTTAAATGACCACCTACTGGGCGCATGTGAAGTTTTAACTCAGGCTTTTTTTTTTTTCTGGGATTTACTTAAGGATTGTTTCTAGCTCTTTCTTTTCCAGGATGTTCTTCACAGTTACATTGGTCCGTTTAGGGGTGCTCCAGAGGTCTCCAGAGCACTGTTCATTTGGGATAGCATCAATGGGTTTATCTTCATGATCCTTCGTTCTGCCTACACCAACCCTTTAACCCCTGCAGTCATTGCTTTAGATTTAGATTTTTTTTATTTGCTTCATTATTTCTGTCAGTTTGTTGAGATTCACTTCTCTCAGCTTCCCCCCCCCACACACCTTCCCTTTCCTCCAGATCCCCCCAGAGACATTGTCCATGTCTTAGTTCTTGTGGTTTCCATTACTTCTGAATAGAGTGAAGACATCAAGAATAGGATTGTAGAGACCCTTTTTTGTGTGGTATGTGGCTTTTGGAATTTCTTTCCATAGGTAAGTGGTTATTGAGGTAACACAGAGATTTTCTTTAGTGACAGGAAAGAAAAACCCTATTCTTATTTTTTAGATTTATTCTATGTTGCATTCCATTCACTGGAATCCAGGACACTTAATTGCCTAATGTTCATACCTGCTTATGTGTAGCCAATATTGAAGGCTTGTGTCTCACTAGAGATGCTCCATATCCAGTTCCAAGAAATTTGATGTTTCCAGTTTTCCCAGCATGATCCCAGGCGTGGGGTGGGAGGGTTTGGGGAGAAAGGGATTGAGTTATACAAGGTCAGGACACCGGAGCTGCCTAGCCTCGCTTTCAACACTTACAGGCTGCAAAGGCATTGCCCTGCTTTGTCTTTGTGTTCCCAGCTTGCGTATGTCCTGTCTATAAGGAACCCACACTGTGTGTGTGAGGGTCTGTAGCTCTGATTTGCGGAGGTGGCACTGATTCCAACTCTCCCTTAGAATTCCGATTGGTCAACGGCAGCAGCAGCTGTGAGGGCCGTGTGGAGCTTTGGGTAAAGGAGGCATGGCAGCCCCTTTGTGCTGCTCACTGGGACTTAGCAGATGCCACGGTGCTCTGCCACCAGCTCAACTGTGGCTACACGGTGGCCACACCCCCAGGAGGTCACTTTGGAAATGTAGAAGCTCCCATCTGGACAGATGTGTTTCACTGTGTGGGGACAGAGCCCCACTTGCTGAGCTGCCCAGCAAGCACCTTAGGGGCCCAGCCGTGCACCCCAGGAAATTCAGCCTCGGTTGTCTGCTCAGGTATGTACAGGCAGCCCTGAGGAATGGAAAGGAGAAGGTAAACAGGTCTGGTGGACAGAGGTGTGGGAGGTTTGAAAGGGTGAGAATAAGTGGGGATGTCCGCTGTGGTGGTCCTTTGCCCTTCAGAGTTTCTCCCTCTCAGGTCCCCAAGATGCCCTGCGGCTGAGGGATGGGCAGAGCCACTGCGATGGCCGAGTGGAGGTCTTCCTGAATGGCATGTGGGGGCGAGTGTTGGACAATGCCTGGGACCTGCACGACGCTGCTGTGGTGTGCAGGCAGCTCCGGTGCGGAGAGGCCCAGCGAGCCTACGACGCTCCAGCGCCGGGCCACAAGACCATCCCTGTGGGGCTGAGCACGGTGCACTGCTTGGGTTCCGAGACCAACCTGACCCAGTGCAACGTGTCAGTGTCTGTGATGGTGCATGCGGGGACATTGCGGGACGCAGGCGTGGTGTGCTCGGGTGAGTGAGTGTGGGGGCATCCACTTCCCCCACCCTGTTCGTGTAGTCCAGTGTGCCCTGACTGGGTCTCTCCGCAGGGAGCTTGCGCGTGCGTTTGGCAGCGGGTAAGAGCCGCTGTGCTGGTCGCGTCGAAGTGTTCTATCAGGGCACATGGGGCACCGTATGTGATGATGCCTGGGACCTTGGGGATGCCCATGTGGTCTGCAGGCAGCTGGGCTGTGGCCAGGCCCTCAGTGCCCCTGGGGGCGCCCACTTCGGAGCAGGAACTGGACGCATCTGGATGGATGAATTGGGCTGCCTGGGTGAGGAGGCTGCTCTATGGGCGTGCCAGTCAGGAGGCTGGGGACAACACGACTGTGGGCACAAGGAGGACGCGGGCGTGATCTGTTCAGGTGGGTGCCGCAGGTCGTGCTTGACATATCCAGCCTTCCCTAGTTCTGCCTGGCTGACTGGCTCCCTGTGTCTGCAGAATTCACCGATGTGAGGTTGCAGGAACACAGCCAGCCATGCGCAGGACGCCTGGAAGTTTTCTACAATGGGACCTGGGGTGGTGTCTGCCAGTCCTTGAGTGCGGCCTCCTTGAGAGTTCTGTGTGGACAGCTGGGCTGTGGGTCCCAAGGGCAGCTGCTGGCCAGGCCAAGGAGCTCCTCCACGCTGGATACTGTCTGGTTGAAGTCTGTTCAGTGCAGGGACAAGCATGACAGGTCCCTGTGGCAATGCCCCTCAGCACCCTGGAGCAGGCATTCTTGCCTCAGTGGAGAGGAAGCTTGGCTGGTGTGTGCAGGTGAGCTGTGCTGTGGATTTCTGAGGGATGCCACTGACACTCTGGGCTGGGTGTGGCTCATTTGGAGCCATCCCAAGTTCCACTCGCTGCTTCCTACTTCTTTTAAAGATGGTTCACAGGGGGAACAGTGTGTGAAATTCTCAGGCTTTGTAGATATCCTTTGAAGCCTAGAGACTCTCTTCCTCTAGTTATGGGGAGACAGAAAGTGCATGGGGAAGAAAGTACCTCTGAGCTTATGACATTCTTATGATCTTTAACTTTCCACACAGAAAAGTCAGAAGTGTCTCAGGACATGGAGAAGATTCCCAACTGCTCATCAACTCTTAGCTGCCCAGGTAACTCTCTCTCCATAAGTCTCCCAAGAACCTTTCCACCAGAGAACATCATGCATTGACCGTGGACCCCTTTCCAGAGGAAGGTGCACTTCATGTGTTTGGGGGCGAGGATGGCTGCTCTGGACGAGTGGAGCTCTGGCACGGAGGCTCATGGGGCACAGTCTGCGATGACTCCTGGGACTTGGCAGATGCAGAAGTTGTGTGCCGGCAGCTAGGCTGTGGCCCAGCCATAGCTGCCTTGCAGAATGCTGCCTTTGGCGCTGGTTCAGGGCCTATATGGCTGGATGAAGTGGGATGCCGGGGCAGTGAGACATCTCTGGGAGCCTGCCAGGCCGAACCATGGGGACATGGAGACTGTTCTCACAAGGAGGACGCTGGTGTGCGCTGCCTAGGTGAGTGAGGTAGCAAGCAGTGGTGGGAAGAGAATGCCAGCTGGACCTTTTGGGGGGGGCTATTTTTATCCTTGTTCTGCTCAGGACCCTTGTTCTTAAGCACAGGACCTCAACATTCAGGGTCCCATTGGTGATCAGGGACAGGCTGCCACCTCAGCCCTGTATAGCTCTAGCTGACCTAGTGGCTACCACCCGCAGAGTATGGACCCACCTGTACTGTCAAGGGTAGTTGACACTTCCGTTTCTTTTGAAGGTATCCCTGGGACCACGGCATCAGGTAAGTGGCTCTGCATTAACCCTTCTCTCCTCTTGGCCATCATTACCGAGACAGTTGGCAGGGGCACTGTTTTCTGACCTTTCTTGAGAACCTCTGAGACCACATGCCATGGGCACACCCTCTGTGACTGCTTAGCTCTACTGTGCCTGCAGGATGGGAAAACAGGGGACCAAATTGCCATTCATAAGCAGCTGCTTCTAGGAGCCTTCAGCTTGGGGATTATGCAATTTTTCCCGAGTATGCTGTATCCTATTGGATAGCATGTTCAGAGCAGAGTAGACAGAAAATAGTGAGGGCAACCACATGGGCTTCCTCCTTCCTCCGACCTGGGCCCGAGCTGGGCGCTCTTTCCTAGGGCATCTTGGCCTGCAAACACAGTTCATCTCATGTGACCAGCCACCTGTCAATGTAACACTGATGCCAAGCTGTCCCGGGTTGTTCATGGGAAGGCTGATGCCATTCAGGCCTAGTGTCAGCCTGTCCTGGGAAGCCCAGGTACATAGTAGGTACATTCTCTACCTGTTTCTGTGCTCTACAGGCAGTGCTCTCGCTCCCCCACCTGTTCCTGAGGTTTGGACCCTGCCTGAGATCGCCTGCCTGGTCCTTGGCTGCCTCCTCGGCATAGTCTTTCTGCTCCTGGTTGTCCAGTGGTGTCACAGCAGAGCCATCAGCGTGGGTAAGGGTCACACAGATGGTGGAACAGGAGTCTTGGAGAAGCCCTGTGAGACTCCAGCCTCCAAAAGTCCTCCCTGCTCTAATTACTCTCTTGAATGCTGACAGACCTCCATGATAGTCAATGCTGGGTTGGTATCTGGAGATTCCCGAGTTATGATGATCTGGAGGAGCCTGGGTTGTCTACTTTGCTGGGGCATTCTGCAGACAGAGGGCTCTATTGTGTCTCCCACCATCACTTGTGCTGTCCTGAAGTGAGATATTTCAGAGATGAGGTGTGGACCCAAAACCCACAAGCCCTACACCAGACCTTTGAGCACTGTGTGTCCTGAGCAGTGGGAGTCCCAGTGACAGCTTCTGTGGTCAGGGGATTTTCCCTGTTTGTGCATCCTCAGCATGCACGAGAGCCACAGGAACCAGAGAGGGTGGCGGAGCCTTTAGCTGTGTGTGTTCTGGTGTGATCTCTGCAGGCTCCAGAGCAACGGGGCAGCTGCCCTCAGAGGCTGTCTATGAATATATTGAAACAGTTTCTATGGATGAAAGAGTGGAGGAGCCAGAAGCATCCCAGAATCCCATGCAGGACGAGGATTATGATGATGCAGAAGAGCCCAAGGACAGCCCTGAGGAGGCCAGGCACTGTTGAGCCTGATTGGTGTGTGCCTCTGTTCCCTGAGGTCTGGTGCACCTTTTATGCTGTTCTGCTCTCATAAAAAGCTTCTGGTGTGGTCAGTGCTAGCATTTAAGGGATCTGAGATCTACTCCTCTGAGTCATGGACCCTCACTTCTGTCTTGGTTTAGATTGCTGTCGTTTCAAGGATGGTCTTCAGAGCCTTCTGCTGAGTAGATGTGTAGACTGGACATGACTCTTCTGAAGGTCCTTTCTGAGTTGTGCACAATGTCCTTTCAGCACCTGCTTCCTGATGTCTGTTGGAGAGATCCTGATGGGCTGGGGAGTGTAGATTTGATGTTCAAATCAATTTCACTGTCACACAATTCATTATCTCCAGTCATAGTCCACCCAGGTGTGGCTGTGTTCTACAGCAGAGAATCGGGACCCAAAGATGGTTGGTACTTAGGATTCTTGAGGACACAAATGGGTGTCTCTCTCTTTAAATAGAGATGGGACCTTTTTCTGCCTGAATGCTGATGTTGATGCTGAAGTGGAAATGGAAGACTGGTGACCCCTGTCTCAGCACCAAATGACCTTGCCCTGGCGTTGAGGTCATATATCTGTCCAGCGTATAATCTACAGAGACTATAGTCTTTCCTGTCCCCACTTACCAAACTGATGCCATTAAACTTCTTTAAACTTATAATTAATTGTCAGTCCTCCCTAGAACTGTTATCACATTCAACCATAAAACTTGTTCTTTCCTGAGCCTCAGTCACCGTTTGACCTTGGGCTTCACTCATGTGATCAGACTTTATGTGCTTCCCACCTCTCCTTTTATTACAGTTTGTGTGAGAGACAACTGTCCTCCTGATAACATAGATAGCAATCTTCCTGTCACTGCAGGCATGACGTGCTTCCAGCATATGCTGGATGGAATAATCATGCTGTGACCAAAGTCTTTATGTACACATTTTCATAGATAATGTCTTAGTCAGTGTTCAATTGCTATGAAGAGATACCACAAGAAAAACAGCTCTTACAAAAAAGAAAGCATTTAATTGGGACTTGCTTATAGTTTCAGAGGTTTAGTCCATTATTGTCATGGCAGGAAGCAGGTAGGGAGACGTGGTGCTGGAGTGATAGCTGAGAGTTATACAATCCTGTAGGGAGCAGGAAGACAGAGACTCTGGGCTTGTCGAAACCCCAGAGCCAGTGACACACTTTCTCCAACAAGGCCACAGCTCTTAATCATTTCAAATAGAGTCACTCCCTGGTGCTAAATATTCAAATCTATAAGCCTGAGGGGATCATTCTCACTCAAACCACCACAGGCAAACACTGACCATCTATCTTCATCCAGCCACCACCTCCACGTCCAGACCAGCCTGGGCCACTTTTCCTACCAAGCCTATCAGAACCTGCCAGTGACCACTGCTAAAAAAACCGAGGTTGAATTTGAGATCCAACAGAAACATGGAACTCTAGGCAATGCAGCTTCAGAACTCCTTTATTGGCATTTTGTGCAGCTTTTGTTCCAGAAAGCTCAGAGTGAATTCCAAGCAGGGACAGAGTGATGATGAAGGGGAAACTTTAAGTAGTAAAATTGATACTATAGATGATTTACTAATAAACTTGCTTAGGAAATATTAAGTTATACAAAGTGGAATTTAGCTAAAGGAGCGCCGCCTCCAACATGATTAGAAGACAGTGATATACTGACCAGGCCTGTTAGAAACTGCAGGAAAGAACATTTTGTGCCTTAACTGGTTTAGGGTTGCTAAGAGAGTTTCTGCTAATGTTTGTTCACCAAATAGGACCTCCAATTAGGATCTTTTTTTTTTTAATGGACTAGTCCCATCCCCATCCCATTCTGACTAGTCCCATTCCCATCTAAGAACATGCTTCTAATGATCAGCTCAAGGGAGCAAACTAGGGTCACAACCACCATTAAGTCCTTGTCTGTCATTAAGTGCCCTGAGCTTTTATCATGAAGAGTATAATTTTGCCAGATGGCCAAGGTGGACTAGGTAACAGTTGGATAATAACAACACAAGCTTACTTAAGAAATAATTCTGGCAATATCTCTGCTGTGTATATCTCCTGTTTGCCCATCCAGACTTAAAGTCTCCTATTTGTTTACCAGGAATCATCATTAATCCTCTAGGAATCTCCTTTAACCCTCCCCCAAAGGTCACCCACCTCAGCAAGAGCACCTATTTCCCAGGCAGTCAATCTAGATAGCCTATATCAGCTCAGATCTCCTCCCTGCTGACTGTCCTATAAAATCTGTCCACTTTTCTGCCATTTTGTTCTTCTTTCTCCCTTGTCCCTGCCCACAGATAGTCTTGGCAATTTTATCTCCAATAAACCCTTTTTTTTTGTACCCATAAAGTAGTCTAGTTTGGTAGTTTGTATGCACCATCGCTTATGATCTCTAAAGCTGGAATTCAACAATAACAGATATAACAAAAGCCTACATATTCATGGAAACTGAACAACTTCCTACTCAGTGACTACTGGGCAGGGAAGAAATCAAGAAAGAAATTAAAGACTTCCTAAAATTCAATAAAAATGAAGACACAACATACCCAAACTTATGTGACATAATGATAAGAGTGCTAAGAGAAAACTTCATAGTACTAAGTGCCTTCATAAAAAAAATTAGAGAAATAGTAGCAACTTAACAACTCCCCTGAAAGCTCTAGATTAAAAAAAAAAAAAAAAAAAAAAAGCGCAGACATACCCAAGCGGAGTAAATGGCAGGAAATAATCAGACTCAGGACTGAAATCACTAAGTTAGAAACAAAGAGAACCATTCAAAGAATCAACAAAACCAAGAATGTGCTTCAAGAAAGTTAAAAAGATACATAAACACTTATCCAAACTACTAAAAGGCAGAGAGGTAACATCCAAATCAACAAAATCAGAAACTAACAGGGGGAAACAACAACAGACACTGGGGAAATCCAGAGACCCATTAGGTCTTACTTAAAAAGCCCGCACTCCAGAAAATTGGAAAATCTAAATGAAATAGAATTTTTTCTTGACAGATTTCATTTACCAAAGTTAAATCAAGATCAGGTAAAACAGACAGATAGTCCTGTAACCCCAAAGGAAATAGAAGCAGTCATTAAAAGTCTCCTATCCAAAAAAACAAACAAACAAGCAAACAAAAAACAAAAACAAAAAAACCCCCTAGGGCCAGATGGTTTCAGAGCAGAATTCTACCAGACTTTAAAATGTTAATACTAATTCTCTTCAAATGATTTCACAGACTCAACAAAGATAATTTCAGACCAATTTTTCTTTTGAACATTGATGCAAAAACAGTCAACAAAATACTCACAAATCAAATCCAAGAATACATCAAAAATATCATCCACTATGATCAAGTAGGATTCACCCAGGCATGCAGGGGTGCTTCAATATAGGAAAATACATCAGCATAATTCACCATATAAATAAGCTGAAAGAAGAAACCACATGATCATTTCATCAGATGCTGAAAAAGCATTCAACAAAATCCAACACCCCTCTTGTTAAAAGTCTTGGAATGATCAGGGATACAAGGTGCATACCTAAAAACAATAAAGGCAATCTACCACAAGCCTCAGACAACATCAAACTAAATGAAGAGAAACTTAAAGCAATCCTACTGAAATCAGGAACAAGACAAGACGGCCCACTCTCTGTATCTCTTCAATATAGTACTTGAAGTTATAGCCAGAGCAAGTAAACAACTAAAGGAGATTAAGGGGATACAAATTGGAAAGGAAGAAGTCAAAGTATCACTATTCACAGATGATATGATGTATACATAATTGACACCAAAAGTTCTACCAGCAAACTTCTACAGCTGATAAACACATTATGCAAAGTGGCTGGATACAAAACTAAGTAAAAAAAAAAAATCCATTGCCCTCTTGTGTATAAGCAATAAATAGGCTGAGAAAGAAATTAGAGAAACTACATCCTTCACCATAGCCACAAATAATGTAAAGTTATTTTAACTGAGCAAGTCAAACAGCTATATGACAAGAACTTCAAGTCTTTGAAGAAAGGAACTGAAGAAAATATCAGAAGTTGGAAAGATATCCCACACTAATGGATTGGTAGGATTAACATAGTAAAAATAGCTATCTTCCCAAAAGCAATCTATAGATTCAAGTCAATTCCCATCAAAATACCAACACAATTCTTTACAGACCTTAAAAGAACAGTTCTAAATTTTATATGGAATAACAACAACAACTACAGAATAGATAAACTAATCCTGTACAATAAAAGAACTTCGGAAGGTATCTCTATCCCTGACTTCGAGCTCTACTACAGAGCAATAGTAAGAAAAACTGCATGGTATTGGTATAGAACTAGACTAGTTGATCAATGGAATTTAATAAAAAACTTAGAAACACACCCACATACCTACAGACACTTAATTTTTGACAAAAGAGCCAAAACCGTACAATGGACTTAGGTTCTCTACACAGATGTAGCCAATGGGAAGTTCAGGCTCCTGTGGGTCTTCCAGTAAGGAGAGCTGGGGGCTGTCTCTGACATGGACCCTGTTGCCTGCTGTTTGATCACATCACCCTGGTGGCATTGCCTCACCAGGCCAGGGGAAGATGTGCTCAATCCTGATGATACTTGATGTACTGCGGTGGGTTGGTGGGGGGGGGCTCCCCTTTTCTGAGGAGTAGGGAAGGGGGATAAAAGGAGGAGGGGGAGGGGCTATGAGGAGAGGAGGGAGGAGGCTATGATCAAGATGTAAAATGAATAAATAAATTAAAATTACATGTTGTTGGTTATTAATATTAATTATTGATTTATCTTTTAGTCAAACAGTGGTTATTCCTAAGCCAGCTGTATACCCACACCACCACACAGAGACTAGGATTTATTTAATTAACCTAGAGCACAGTGCTGGGCAATAGTTACTCCTTCCTAACCTCCAACCCTGCAGTTTCTTCCCATTCAGATTTCCCACATCATACTTGCTTTTAGTCATATCTTAGGTCCAGTTCATCTCTCCTTGTGGTTCCAAGTCCTCTCCTGCCACTCTCTCCTCTCCAACTTCTTCCACTCACTTCTTTCTTTTTCCCTCCAGATTAGGGTGTTCTACCCTATTCTCTCCATTGCTCAGCACTGGCTGGTTTTATTGATAATTCAGAGAACAAATGGTGACATGTTTACACAAACTTGAGACAGGTGATGCTTATAATTGAAACCAGATAGTGGGGTAGAGAAATCAGCATGTGAGTGAATAAGGGTAAATTGTATACATTCTACAAGAACATTATACCAATATTTCACCCTTTAAGT